TATGACAATGGCGGATAATATATATATATATATTATAAAAACCGATATAACTGAGGTCGAGTTCAATTTTAACTTAGTTGAATCAAACAACTATACACCTATCGACAGTGGCAGACCCAGGATTTTTGGGGGGAAAGGGGGTTCCTGCGGTTCCTTCATATTGTCAAACAACTAGAAAAAACTTTAAAAAAATCATCAAACCTAAGCAAATGAAAATAAATAATATCAATAATATGAAAGAAAATTATACAATAACATAACACTTTACTACTTGAATAAATCTATGAAAGCAAAACCTTGAACAACTATGTTGAAAATAACATCAAATTCAAGAGGAAAAACAAGAAAATTTTAGTGAAAAACCTCTTCAATTAAAGAGAGCAAAAGACCACGGGAATCTAACGGTCTATAAATCCAATATAATTAAAAGAGTTACAACAATCACAATTCACAAAAAAGTTTACACAAATTTCTTATTTCTCCTTCATTTTTTTTTTTTTTTTTTTTTGGCTTCAAAGATATAATATAAATTTTCATGACTTTGATCAGGCCTAACCTAAGCTAAAATCAATCAAAACTTAAATTAAGTCACGTTACCTTAAGCATCAAACGGTGATATGTTTCAAATGTAGGAAAGTGATGGATGAAGGATAAAGATAACATTCAGTAAAATATAGTTAAGGTTTAGTTTGAGAAAGCATGAACATTCTTAAACACAAAACAAACTCACAAGATCCATGCATTTTTCCGTCAAATTAGAGTAAAAAACTTCAAACAATAAAAATGATTCAACCTAAAATAAACTAAAATGAAATGAGCAATACAACTATCTAAAATTGATAAAACAGAAACGAAATTATTGTGACACCTTGATTAGTGAAAGCTTCAATAATTTCAATCTTCAAAAGTTTTAAAAACGAATAACATAGAGAAAGTGAAAAAGAGAAGTAAAGATTTTAGGGATAAATCATAAAAAATAGGTGGAAGTAGAAAAAAGTGGAAGAAATTTTAAACTTTTAATATAATGTAAGCCTGGAATGCATATATATTAATACAAATTTTTAAGTCTGATATATATAATATTTTTAAACTAAATGTAGACCAAATATATATTAATAGAATTTTTTATGGGCCATATAAGGGGTCCGCCCTTGCCTATCGGTAAGAGCTCGAGCTCGACAATTGAGTTTAATCGAGCTCAAGCTTCGACTATTGTAGTCGAGCTTCTCAAGACTCGACTCGACTCAATTACAACCGTAATTATTCCCAATTATTTAGCGGAATTATAATCTTATATTAAATTTACAAATTAAAATACAAATAAGTGTGGCAAATTTAGCCCCATGATGAGCTGGAGTTGCATTGTGTAGTTTTGACATCACGAAAGCTGCAGGAGTTTTATTAACACATGCACGAAGAATAAAGCTCAATTTGCAAGCTAACAACTGCGACTGGCCATCTATTGGCTTTATTATCTTCACAAGGTATAAAACCTGCTTTTACGTGAGTTTACTTCCCATGTATTTGCGGTCCTTTTCTCATCATGGTTTCAAACTCCTCGTAGTTAATTCTTCCATCCTGTTTACAAGAATCCCATTATGATAAAATCAGTCATCATTGATAATGCCAGTCAAATATTAAGATGCATGCGATTGAAGTAGGAAAGTTACTTTATCGGTATCAACATCTTCAATAATTTCATCTATTGTCGCCTCATCACCCATCCATGTTGAGTCATAGCTTGTCTCAACTCCTCTCTTGTAATAAACTGATACAAATAAATAGTCAGTTCAAATTGAATAATTCTGATAGCACATGCTCAAAACAATGAATTGATGATTTTAGTTCGAAATTCGGAATACTTGTGGGATTTTACTTCATAAATAGGATCACCTTACAAGGAATGGGAACTTTAGAGAAACTTGACAGAAAAAAAATGTAACAGTACTACACCCGCTGCGTGTCCTTGTCAAAATATTGAAATGCTTCGTACAAATGTTCTTCCTTCTCTAGTTTATGCCTTTGCATAGTAGCAGTAATGAATAGTGTATCAATGGTTCCACTTTTGTCAACATCAGCCTGAAAAATTTAAACCAGTCAACAACTTTTTACAGGGCAAGAGGGAACCATATAATTTTTGCTTGAAGCAAGTTGGCTATAAATATCCATAAACTTAATGCAGAATTTCTTTCTCACAGAAAGAACACTAACAATATGGAATGGTAAAAGTTCTTACGGCATCCATTAGCTGCTTTATTTCTGCTTCAGTAAGCTTAGATCCCAGCCTGGACAATCCATCTTTTAGTTCTCATACGTGATGTTGCCACTCCATCGGTATCATGTTGTTAAACATCTCTTTCAAGCCCTTGATTCTTTCTGTCGAGAGGTTTTCTGCTATGATCTTCAGTAATAAGTTTTCAAGTTTTCAGATCAGGAAAGCACCAGCAGGAAAATTAAACAGAAAATAGAATAAAGAATGCAGAGAGTAGATAGCTGGGCCTGTAGTCTATAAGATACATTGAAGATATAATAACTGAACCACTGAAATAACTGAGGATCGGTCCAGAGACTGTTTTCTTAGCTTATATTCAGATATCATCGATCATACCTTAAGGCAAGCTTCTTCATTGTTCATTGCTCTGAATGCTCATCCTAGTTAGAACAGCACTATCAATTGGTTTATCAGATGTTTCAGCACCCACCTGTAGCCAGGAGTGTGTTTCAAATACATAACATGATATGGAATGTAGTCACTGCCTAAAAATAACAGGACCTATATTTACAAGGAGCTAAATACATATATTACATCCAAAACCCTTTACATATACATCAAGAGAATTCAGGATGGTGACACTTTGCCACCTGAAATTCTTTCCCCAGCTGATGATCACATCACAGCAAGATCAATCAACTGGGGACAGGTTATTAAGAACAAACTTAGAAAAGGGTAACTCCAAAATGAGATCATGGGATTAGTTTAAACAGTTTCCCAATTCAAAATTTAATTCAGTTGTCCATACCAAGGTGTCTGCAGCAGTGATTCGTTTCTTAGGATCCTTCGTTAACATTTTCTGACTAGATCTTTAGCAGAAGACGATATGGAAGGCCATGGTGAGCTCGTTAAGTCCACATTACCTTCTAAAACTGCTTCAAATATGCCCTTCAGTCTCTCTAACAAAATCGAACCCATTACAGAAGATTAGAGCCAGAAAGAAAACATAAAAGTAAATATATTATATGGTGGAAAGATAAATTTTTCAGAATCAGCAAAAATAAAATTTCTCAGGTAAACCAAGGCACGGTTAAACCAAATGGAAGTTCCATAATCTCTGGCAGTATATTTTGCTCCTTACAGTTGTTCAACTTTCAAAATGTTTTTAAATACAACAGCTGCATGTTCATAAAAATTAGGAAGCTGAATAACTCAAATGTCCAAAATAGTTAGCAAAATAATATAACCTTTCCATGCAAAAATGTGTCATATTGTCAAGGCCTACTAGCGGACAATTGTAATGATAAATACATGAAATTTAGTTCACCACTTGTATATATGTTTGCTAGCAAGATCCATTAAAAGGTAATTTTTGGTGTCCATTTTGTGTCTCTGGTGTCAAATCAACTGAAAAAGATACCAACAATCTTCACATACCACCCAAAATGGAGGCACTCCACTTAATGAATGTTATAAAATGACTCCAGCACTCCATACGTCTATCTCCTTCCCATAGTTTCGCCGCAACACCTCTGGGGCAACATAGTAAGCACTTCCAACAATGTCCTATACACTTTCCCTAGTGAATCACATAAGAGGATATAAGACCATGATTACTTGAGACATCACACACTGAAAAGTCAGACAATAAAGTACCAGAAAATGAAATTTGTACAAGAAAAGCTTCTATGCAACAATAAAACAGATTATACAAATGAGATCTTGTTAGTTATCCTTCACTTGGAGTTTTCCTAATGCAAAAATATACTTTCCTGCACAACTTTGTAACAAAAGTTCCAAACTCCGTAGAATCAGATTGTAACAACTTGCATGTTAGCATGACCAATATAAGACATTACTAGTATTATCAATGGCAGCTTAAATTTGACTGCTCGATATTTAAGTTCCCATTAAGGCCATTATTCTTCCATTTCCTTAACAATCTACAAGCATTCATTGTCTCACAGTATATACACAATTCCTCTATTTATTATAACCTACTACAAGCTCAAGCACTGCTCTCATAGTGTATATAAGATTATTCATTCTCATGCTAACAAAAATAAAAACATTAATTATTGATCAAAACTCAAGAAATGAAGGCCGATATTGGGGAAGAAAAAGTACCCTATTCAATATTCATATGAGTGGACATGCATCACACCATGACTATACCGTGTGTTTTGGTTCCAATAGTCTTTTAATGCTAACTACATTTGTCTCATTGGTTGTTTAATTATTCAGCAAGTGACAGGCAAATCAATGACGTGAATCATGTGAGAATCCAGTTGAGTATTTTTTTTCCTGTAATCCTTAACTGATATAAAATCATTGACTTGGTTGACCAGTCTTATCTCCATTGACTTAGGTCATCTTGACCTATAATTGCATCTAAATCGAAGTCCTTCCAGCTCCTATTTGATGTATTAAGTTCAGTTTTTTCTTCTTTTCATACCTTAATTTTTGGAAATATCTCACATTTAAACCATGTAAGACAAAGATCCCACCTAATGGCTTTAAATTTTTATTTATTCAACTTGCTTAAAGTTAGTCTCTTCAACTGATTCAAATGTTTTTCTAAGTGCTTAAACCTGATTAGTAAATTTTAAAACAACATAAAAGAAAAAAACATAAGAAAAAGGATCAAATAAAATTTCGATGAATCAATACAATTGTAAATCAGTGGATGCAAAATATAAAGCAACATTAGCAGAAATAAAATACATCACAAACATAAAAGCAACGAGCTGGAGATCAAAACAAATGAAGAGGAACAGGAACAACTAACCTTTTTCAATGAAGACAGAGAGTCCAAAATCTGTTCTTTTATAGGAGATTTTTCATCCTTACTCACCAACAAGAAATTCTCAGGCTTCAGTCTCTATGCATCACACCATAAAATGCAAACATGAACCACATTCACAATCTGGCGACAAATTGAAGTGCTTCACGCTCTGAATAAGTCCCTTTGGCGATAATTCGATCAAAAAGCTCACCACCGGAGCACAACTCCATAACCAAATACAGATTCTGTTTATCTTCATAAGCACCTTTAAATTCTACATATTGGGTTGCCATTCAAGTTGTAGAATCAAAATCTCCCTCCTAACGTCCTCAATATCTTTCACGCACAAGTTTACGCCTTGCAATGGACTTGCAGGCGTATTTCTGCTCATGATTTCTCAGTACAAAGATAAGTAACGCCAAACTGACCTCTCCCTAACTCTTTATCAAGAACATACAATGAGTGATGTCAACATAAGGTTTGCCTAAAAGGAACCAATCTGTGAAGTTGAAGGAGCTTTAACTGGGTTTGGTTGTAAAGGAGCTGGTATGTACTGCCGAGGTTGTGGCTGTCTTGGGTTCTTCTGGGTAATGGCTGATAGGACGGGAGGTGAACTATCAGAAGAGGGGAGATTGGGACATCATGAGAACGGGACCTTGAGAAGCAGTGTCCCATTGAGAGAGATTATTTAGCAGGGATTTAGATTTATTTTTTCAGGTGGTTTCAGATGATTTGGCAGGGGGTTTGGTTTGTCACGAACTTAAAAAGCTCATTGAGAGAGTTTAAGAAGTTGATTTTGCTAAAATAAGTTCTTTTTGTGCTTTGCTTGACCTGTTGGATAGAGTTGGGTATCATTCCCACTTTTTGCTTACATACGCTTTGTTTTCCTGACACAAAGACAAGAGGGACTCCGCAAGTGGCAGGAAGGATTTCGACTCTTTGCTTATAAGGTTTTGTTTCGAAGAATGCTTTGGTTGCTAGCTCACCGTTTTGTACTTTTGTTGGGCTGTTGTCCGAACCTTCTTTTAAGCCCACAACAACACGGTACTCTCTCGGCTTTAAAGGCCTTGCAACCCACCAGATGCCCCAATTCTGTGGTCGCTTTGACTAGGCCATTGACTATGCAATTTGTAACTTTCCAAGTGAACTATATAATTTCAAACGAGAGAGCTTCTAAATTCTAATTATACGTAATTAAATGCATTGAGTTAGTTGACCTTTTCTGAATTGTGATTCAGGATATCAAGCATTTCTGCTTCGTCAAACACGAAATGATGATCACTCAGACTTTGTATGCAAAATTATGTATGTGTAAATGTTATTCTACCTTCCCATATATACCAGAAATTCTAGTCTTATCCATTAGTCCCAATTCGTGCATCCAAAACAGAATAACCTACAGAAATAAACTATCAAGTGTGCACCTACCAAAGTGATTATGAGACTTGATTTTGATGTGTAGCGATTGGAAGGACGATTTGCCTGAATTATGACTTTTACAAACTTGAAGGGCACGGTACGGTACTGACACCCCTGTTTGGTTTAAAATTCTTCAATTATGATTGCCAGACTGGTTTCCAAATTACAACTAGGCATTGGCAAAATAATGAAACATACAGTTCTTAAAAAAGGTTTAGTGACCTCAGACCAACAAATTCCCATGGCTATTATAAATAGACATACAAATAAATTGCTTTGTAATAGGGAACAGAAGCCACTCATTCATACTGCTTTGCACAAGTGACGCAGCCTGGGCAAGAAATTGGAGGTAAAACATTGACCAGGAATCCATACTCAATCGAAGTCGCAACTGGACTAAAACAGGGAGACAAACACAATTTATCAAATCAGTTTGCTGCATCACGACTGTAATAATTATCCAGTGTCTTGGCTGGTATACGGTGGAGAAGCTCACGGGGAAAGATACGAAGCAGTGTCCAAGCCAAATCAAGTGACTGAAAGATGTTACGGGTGTCATAGGCCCCTTGGGCCACAAATTTCCTCTCAAATTTGTCTAAGAATTCCAAATACAGCTGAAGATCCAAAATGAAAAACATATTGTGTTAGTAAGGTAGGTGAAGTCTAAATATATAATTACACATTACTACAAAGAAAATCATACAAACAACACAAAAGATACACACAGAGAGGAACAGAGTTAGAGAGAGACCAGATCCTCAGAAGAAAGTGCTTCTTCTCCAACCACAGCTTTCATAGCTTGGACGTCTTTTCCAATAGCATAATTTGCATACAGCTGAAATTGAAAAAATTGGAAACCAAACAGGAAAAAATTAAGAGGCCTTAAAGCTGGAATTAAGGAAACGGGAGAAAATCACTTCAGACTACCAATCAGACCTGGTTGGACACATCAGAATGGTCTCGACGAGTCATTCCCTCCCCAATAGCACTCTGAACAAAATCATTAACAAAATGGTCATCATAAACTCCCCAGAGTTCAATTATTAAAGCAGGCACAATTGGAGATAGGAAGAACTATCAGTTACAACAGTCTTACCTTCATTAGCCGAGAAAGTGATGGAAGCACATTGATAGGTGGATATATCTGTCCAAAGAAGGAATAAATAATAGATCCATCATTTACACATACGTTTCATAGAGACACAGCTGGTATTCCTATAAAATGCGTCTTTTCAAAGGTTAATTACTCCATTCAGCAAAGCTCAATACATGAACAATCCAACTAATGACATAACAGCTGAGTTTCTATGATTAATGTTGAATATAAATTAATCTAACAATGACTCTTTGTCTGGTCATCAACTGGCAGCATTTAAGAATATGCAGATTGTGCATATGGTTAACACAAACTTCAACACTCATACATGATCCCAATCACTTCAAATTTTCTGGGGTGTATAAAGCCCTTTTTGTGCCTGGACTTGCAACAAAAGCAATATAATTCACAGTATAACCGGTAGCTCAACCGTCATAGACTAATCTGAATATTCATTCGCACAGGCAGATGCAACCACAAACAAAAACAACAGAAAAAACAATAATCATAATAACAACAATAGAAACCCTATAGACAATATCATAAGGTAATTGGTTTCACATCTGCTTCTACACAAGTATTGGTTGAGAATTTGTTTCCAACTGACCTGTCGATTCTGGAGTTGCCTATCAACGTAGATCTGCCCCTCAGTGATATAACCAGTAAGATCTGGGGTAGGATGCGTAATATCTGGTAGATAAACAAAACAATAACAAGTGATATCTATAACTATAACAATAGAAAAAATATGCTAAGAATATCTCCGCATGCTGTTAAGATATGTAGGCAACTATACCATCATTAGGCATCGTTAAAATAGGAATTTGAGTGATGGAGCCCTTTCGTCCTTCAATACGTCCAGCACGTTCATAAATTGTTGCCAAATCAGTATACATATATCCAGGATATCCACGCCTTCCTGGTACTTCTTCTCGGGCAGCAGATACCTGCAGTTACCAAAGACAGCTGTAAATCACATTGGTAAAGTATCTGCAGAATGCATCAGTGATCAGTTTCAAAATTCAAGAGTCGCAAGACAAGTCGTTTTATAAAGCAAAATGCATATGAAGCCAGCCAATAAAGTAAGTTCAAAATTCATTACCTCTCGAAGAGCATCAGCATAAGAACTCATATCTGTCAATATAACTAAAACATGTTTTCCACATTCATAAGCCAAATACTCTGCAGTTGTGAGGGCAATACGAGGAGTGATAATTCGTTCGATGGTGGGGTCGTTTGCCTACAAAAAAGGCAAGTCAAAAAAGCAGGGTGCATCAGGGTGAGATCACATCAATAACGTAAGAAAACATAGAGCAAAGACCCTTCCCCAAAATTTAGAAGAAAAGGTCATCAAAGAGAACAAACTCACAAAATAAGTATTAAAGACATTTACTGAAATTACCAGGTTTAAGAAAAGAGTCACTCTCTCCATTGATCCATTCTCCTCAAAATCACGCTTAAAAAATTGGGCTGTCTCCATGTTTACACCCATAGCAGCAAATACAATGGCAAAATTGTCCTCTTCCCCATCCTGTTGATTAAGTCAGGACACCAAAAGGACAATTACATAATAAATTCAGCAACTAAATCATCTCGCAGCAGAAAAAGATAATGACAGTAATAGGCAACGAACATCTTCAATTCCAGATATAAGAAGCAGAAAAAGCATATCGAGAATAGCTATGAAGATACATTTGATCTGCTATCCAAGAAATAATTTTCTTGCTACATGGATGTTTTAACTTACATGATATAATCCCAACCCCATATACATTTTCTAATATGTGTCCCTTTAAAAGGTTTTGTAAGTCTGTGCTTAGTCACAAATTTAAACAGGGGAATTAGGAAATTATGAATGGTTGCCAATTTAGATTCCATAAAATGAAAATTCAATTCATCAGTTGCTTCTCATGACTAAGAAAGATCGATATTTAAATAACTTGAACATTAGTAACTTAATGATCTCAGAAAAAAAAAAAAAAATCTCCTACTTCTGGTTCGCACAAAAGAAAACACACTCAACTCCCAAGCATGTAACTAAATTGCTGCTTTAAATTAGAAGACATGATGCAGGCACGATATACCATGATGTGATCAATAGACTTCTCCAGCCGCTTTACAAGACCGGCCTGACGACAGATCTGAGCAGCTATTTCATTATGGGGAAGACCAGCAGCAGAAAAAAGAGGAATCTTCTGTCCACGAGCAATGGAGTTCATCACATCAATAGTAGAAATCCCTGTTTGTATCATCTCCTCAGGATAGGTTCTCTCACTAGGGTTTATGGAGCTTCCTGAAAAGGCAAGCAACAATTTTACTTATAATCATATGGTCATTGCATAAGCTTGGTGGTTTATATTGACAATTTAAAAATCATGCAATCTCCATAATCACCAGATATATCAAGGTAAGCCTCAGGCAAAATCGGTGGACCATTATCAATGGGCTTTCCAGAGCCATTAAATATGCGCCCAAGCATATCCAATGACACAGGTGTTTTCAGCACCTGCACAATAAACATTTGAAAGGACTCAAAACTCAGAAAAATGATTAAATAACCAAATAGCAAAAGCTGGCCTAAGAAAAGACATAAAAAATGTCCATCATACCTATGTGTTTATCAGTTCATGTATATATCTGAAGGCTTGAAAGTATAAACTTAATGGTTTTTAGTTTTAAATATTCTTTAGTAGTGATCAACAACAAGTTTTAACAATTTGAGAACCAAAAGGTCCCTACAACATTAACAAAATGTGTTTGGGAACTAAAAGAAAATACCTCCCCCGTAAACTGCACAGTTGTGAATTTGTTGTCAATTCCTGAGGTTCCTTCAAAAACCTGAAAACCAGAAGGGAAATATACAGACGAACAATGTAAAATTGGGGAAAATATGAACTCCTAATCATCTTAAATTTTACAGCTAACTTCTTTGTTTAGTGAAGATTGAAAAATGAAAAACTATGCTGACATCAAATATAAAACCAATGGTGTTACATATAAAAAACAGCCCCAAAAGTTTTTTGTCCATAAAGGTTATGATGATATACTGAAACACATTTTATGCCAACAACTACTTTTCCCAAGAAAGTATAACATCAGTGTCACATTAAACCACAGAGATCATCTACCACTCCATGCTAAAGGAATAGTCATGCAAAGTGAAGAAACTTAGTTTTTGATATGCTAACTCGTATACTTTAGGCAGCAGTTGAATAAGTCCATATCATTTGCATATAAAAATGCTTTTAAATACAGCACTTATAGACAAAGACACAGGCAAAGCGATGGCAGCAGAAATATTAAACCTGCACAACTGCTTTCTCCCCATCAACTTCCAAGACCTGTCCTCGTCTCATTGTTCCATCTCCCAGACGGATGTTGACAATCTCCTGATACTTTGGACCCTGAAACAATAAAAAGTTAAAAATCATACCACTGGGCAAGTGACATTAAATTCTGAAGGAAAATTATCTTTTAAATACAGAACAGGTAAATCTACCTTGACTTTATCAAGAATGACCAGAGGCCCTGCAACACCAGAAACAGTTCTATACTCTGCAAACGGAAAGCACCCGATGAATGTTAAGAACCATGTAGAAANGGACAATTACATAATAAATTCAGCAACTAAATCATCTCGCAGCAGAAAAAGATAATGACAGTAATAGGCAACGAACATCTTCAATTCCAGATATAAGAAGCAGAAAAAGCATATCGAGAATAGCTATGAAGATACATTTGATCTGCTATCCAAGAAATAATTTTCTTGCTACATGGATGTTTTAACTTACATGATATAATCCCAACCCCATATACATTTTCTAATATGTGTCCCTTTAAAAGGTTTTGTAAGTCTGTGCTTAGTCACAAATTTAAACAGGGGAATTAGGAAATTATGAATGGTTGCCAATTTAGATTCCATAAAATGAAAATTCAATTCATCAGTTGCTTCTCATGACTAAGAAAGATCGATATTTAAATAACTTGAACATTAGTAACTTAATGATCTCAGAAAAAAAAAAAAAAAAAAAAAAAAAATCTCCTACTTCTGGTTCGCACAAAAGAAAACACACTCAACTCCCAAGCATGTAACTAAATTGCTGCTTTAAATTAGAAGACATGATGCAGGCACGATATACCATGATGTGATCAATAGACTTCTCCAGCCGCTTTACAAGACCGGCCTGACGACAGATCTGAGCAGCTATTTCATTATGGGGAAGACCAGCAGCAGAAAAAAGAGGAATCTTCTGTCCACGAGCAATGGAGTTCATCACATCAATAGTAGAAATCCCTGTTTGTATCATCTCCTCAGGATAGGTTCTCTCACTAGGGTTTATGGAGCTTCCTGAAAAGGCAAGCAACAATTTTACTTATAATCATATGGTCATTGCATAAGCTTGGTGGTTTATATTGACAATTTAAAAATCATGCAATCTCCATAATCACCAGATATATCAAGGTAAGCCTCAGGCAAAATCGGTGGACCATTATCAATGGGCTTTCCAGAGCCATTAAATATCCGCCCAAGCATATCCAATGACACAGGTGTTTTCAGCACCTGCACAATAAACATTTGAAAGGACTCAAAACTCAGAAAAATGATTAAATAACCAAATAGCAAAAGCTGGCCTAAGAAAAGACATCAAAAATGTCCATCATACCTATGTGTTTATCAGTTCATGTATATATCTGAAGGCTTGAAAGTATAAACTTAATTGTTTTTAGTTTTAAATATTCTTTAGTAGTGATCAACAAGAAGTTTTAACAATTTGAGAACCAAAAGGTCCCTACAACATTAACAAAATGTGTTTGGGAACTAAAAGAAAATACCTCCCCCGTAAACTGCACAGTTGTGAATTTGTTGTCAATTCCTGAGGTTCCTTCAAAAACCTGAAAACCAGAAGGGAAATATACAGACGAACAATGTAAAATTGGGGAAAATATGAACTCCTAATCATCTTAAATTTTACAGCTAACTTCTTTGTTTAGTGAAGATTGAAAAATGAAAAACTATGCTGACATCAAATATAAAACCAATGGTGTTACATATAAAAAACAGCCCCAAAAGTTTTTTGTCCATAAAGGTTATGATGATATACTGAAACACATTTTATGCCAACAACTACTTTTCCCAAGAAAGTATAACATCAGTGTCACATTAAACCACAGAGATCATCTACCACTCCATGCTAAAGGAATAGTCATGCAAAGTGAAGAAACTTAGTTTTTGATATGCTAACTCGTATACTTTAGGCAGCAGTTGAATAAGTCCATATCATTTGCATATAAAAATGCTTTTAAATACAGCACTTATAGACAAAGACACAGGCAAAGCGATGGCAGCAGAAATATTAAACCTGCACAACTGCTTTCTCCCCATCAACTTCCAAGACCTGTCCTCGTCTCATTGTTCCATCTCCCAGACGGATGTTGACAATCTCCTGATACTTTGGACCCTGAAACAATAAAAAGTTAAAAAATCATACTACTGGACAAGTGACATTAAATTCTAAAGGAAAATTATCTTTTAAATACAGAACAGGTAAATCTACCTTGACTTTATCAAGAATGACCAGAGGCCCTGCAACACCAGAAACAGTTCTATACTCTGCAAACGGAAAGCACCCGATGAATGTTAAGAACCATGTAGAAATCATCAACTAATCTATAAATGAATCAAGAGAACATGATCACTAAGATGCAATAAAACCAATAAGAGACAACAAATCCTATTATGAGGAAAAGAAAATATCTTCCCTTCTAGGTTATAAGATGTGTATATAAAAACCTGAGCCGCGAAACTAGTGTACCTCAATAAAAATAACAATCACTTAAGAATAAACAGGTGAAAACAACTCAAAGGTCCTCACTGTATCCGCAATTACAGAAAATGAAAAGGCCAAATTCATGAAAATTACGAAACAAGAACAACAATAACCCTCTTCAGAAACTGAACTTTCACAGACCAAGCAAAAATTAGCCCGAAATTACTGACATTTATACCATTTAGTTAAATAGAGCACTCACCCATGCCGATCTCGAGAGTGCCCTCCTCCATGTCAACAACGTTTGTAGCCGCTCCCATCTCCAAGCCCAATCTGATAACACTTAACAACCAAAATAATTATGTACAAATCACAAGCACAGCATTAAACTGATTGATAATAGTTCAGAAACTAGATTCATAAAAATAACTTCTAAAAAATCTAGGAAACGATTTCACAGCAAAACGACAGAAAGAAAAACTTCAGTTCCATACTACGGTATGTAATTGAGTGAAGATCAAGACCTTAATCGAATGGCAGAGGTTTCGATTTTGATTGGAGCAGATGGTTGTGTAAACAGAAACTGCGCTCTTTTTTTTTTTTTTTTTTTTTCAAGATTTAGGAATTATTAAGAACTAAACGACAAAAATATTATGAGGCTCAAGACAGAAGAAATGGCCGAGATCTGGTAAGGGACGTACCAGTGACAGTATATGCTAGAGATCGAGAGCTCAGTGTCCTGACTCCTGATAAACTAACACGTCTACGAATTGAAATTTTTTGTCAGCCAATCCACTCCGGTTCTGTTCTATATGGTTTTGACAGTGCCACGGAGGAGGCTTTTTTTTTTTTAATTTTCCCTTAAATATTGTATTATTTCTATTTGTCTTCAATCATATAGATAAAAGGAAGCTGTTATATATCACTGTCAATTTAAGAGAGAACTCTAAAGCGTTTAGCCTTTGTGTTATGTGTTAATTATTGTTAGTTTTTGGGTTTAAGCTATTAACACTTATAAATTAAACTGTGTGGGAAAGTGGTAAGAAGCTTCGCCAATTTATAAAGCTTGTGATTTGGCAGCTGGTGTGATGACTCACGTGGGTTCATGGACAGCTATGTGTCACATGTCCACGTAATGCAAAATCATTCACATACGTCCAAAGATTGCAAATGCATTTACGAATATGCCTTGATGCATAATAATTTGATGATCCAGGTGGACCATCCGCGGGGATTAGGCCCAATATGCACAGAGACAAGTCCAAGTCCAATTAGATTGTTTTGGTCTTAACAATCCAATATGTACAGTACTAACACTTAAACACTTAAAGCTTATTTTCACCCACAACTTCAACTGGGTGCGAGGAATTGTAATACACAAGATACCGGAAAATATTCTTAGTGTTAGCTAGAATAAATTTCACAAATCAAACCACGTAGCATATGCTTGCTGTTCTAAGGGAAGCTAATCCCTGTACTGAAATTAACAAACGAAATACAATAATACATACTCCTGGGCAAAAGTATAGTAACCCAGCAGAGCTGATCAGCAACATTTGGAAAAGCAGGCTCATATACAGTCACCTCTCCATATGGGAGCCACGATCAACAGCTCTCACACACTTGGTGTGCACCTCGTAGCCACATTCAAGACACTGGTAAGCCCAACCAGACCCCTGCTCATCACAATCACAGCATATGAAAGGGCCTCCTCCAGAGCCTTCTGATACCAAATTGAGCTCATGGCGATGTCCAGCATGAATCTCAGATCTTGGCAAGTTCTTAGCCTCTTCGTCCATTTGTTTGTACAGAAATTCCAATTTGGCCTCAGTGAAAGGGTACGCCTTTTCCTGGTACAAATTTATAAGATTTCTACCTTGTTTGGTGACAGTTTTACCATCAGGGCCAATAATCACCAAACATGGGATACCCTGCACATCGAAGTACTTGGCAAGTTCTTTGTTGGTTGGGTCTCCAAAAGGCAATGCTAACCATGGCATGGTAGCAAAGTAGGATTCAAAAGCTATTTGGTCACGATCACTTGATACGAAGACTACTTCAAAGTCCTCGTCCCCCTTTTCGACAAGCATTTGCTTGACCTTCTGGTAGATGGAAACCAACTTGGGAGCGAACTTTGCGCATGGAATGCCCCACTGTGCTGAGAAGTAAAGTCCAACAGTCTTCCCTACCAAAGAAGCAACAGGTACCTGCACAACTCAAATGAATACACACATGAAACTTCAGGCCTTATGGTTTAACCTACTTAATAATGTTACTTGGCAACATGCATATCAAGTAAGAACATCTGCAACATTGCACCTTGAGTGAATAAGTTATACGCTGGCCAAACTCTTAATCCTACCTCCTTGATGATCATTTTTTCTTTTTCTTTTTGTCTTCTTCTATTATCCCCAATTAGGTCTAATCACTAAAGAAGACGGACCTTATTGATTTTTTAGCCAAAATCAAGTAAAGCTTGATCAACGGCTTGAATCAAGCAAGACTTGATCAATGGCTTGAATCAAGCAAAGCCTAATTTTAGCCAACATGATTAACAAAAAGAGTGGAGAACAAAGATGAGAGACAAGGAAAGAACTAGAGGAAAGATGACAGAATTAATAATTTAAAAAAAGTATTCTATCAATCTATCAAATACTTAATCCCTACGTATTAATATGTAACTCATACGACAAAAACTATTCGTCTTGATTATTTCAATTTAATACGTAAAACTTAGCAAAATAGTAATAGAAATAGAAAAGGAAATAAAAACTTTCTAAATCAAAAAATTGGATGATGAAAATGAAGTATTCAAAATGAGAAAAATTAAAATGAAATTTGCCAGATCAAAAATAAGGTATCAACCCAATACAAGATAGGTTTCTTAGGATACTTTCAATCTCATATCCTATGTGCCACATGAGTCGGATGCCATTTGTATTATTGGAGTGGGAAATGGAGAGGTAAAAGCAAGCAATACTGATTCTGTGTAATTGTGCAAGGTGTCGGCAAAAATAGTAAAAAGAGGAACCTTTTCAAACCAAATTTGAATAAAAAGGAACTCCTGTGGTCGTTCTTATCCAAATGAGGATGAGGTATTTACTTAGAAGTGGCTTCTAGCTAAGCAATGACATGACAACACATTTCATCTTTTTCTCTCCAGAAAGCATAGACGAAAATGAGATTATAGGTGGTAGTGGTATTGTTCTAGAAATGGAGTTGGACCAACCTAATATAAAACGTGCCTGATTAATACACCAAAAACAAATTTGCTCCTCCCTAAACGGAACCCTCAAAAAAGAATATTGATTGAAAAATTTAGTGAAATAAGAATCATATCCTTAAAATTCGAAAAAAATATGTATATATATAAATGTGTACAGTGTAAAACTATAGAATGGCCTCATGGAAGAAATAAGGCTAAGTGGCTAGAAAGTTTCGCAAGCCAGTAGACATGAAAAGGGAGAAGCCTGAAGCTTAAAATCATACCCAAGAATTAGAATATATATATATATATATTAAGACTTACCTGTTTAGAAGCGGGATGACCCAAAAGATAATCTCTATCGTGGTTTGTTAGTAAATTAGTTAAGGTCTGGCGCTCATGTTTCTCCTGCTCTTCTTTTTGCAATTCCCCAACTTCTCCTTAGTAAACGGGAAAGCTTTTATCCCATACCTATAAATGAGTTCAACACCATCGTGCAATATTGCATCATCCTTATCATCATCAGGTTGCAAAACAACCAAGCAAGGAATACCTTCAATGTCGAATTTTCTGTTTAAGGCCCTCTTAGTCTCCAAATCAGAAAATGGAATTGCCAGCCATGGCATGCATGCACGATAGGTGTTGAAGGCATCCAAATCTTCATCAGATGACACAAACACAATCTCGAAACCAGACCCACTATTCCTTAGCTCTTCGTATGCACTAATAAGGACTTGGGTGAAATTTCGACATGGTGGATACCAGTTTGCTGAGAAGTAAAGGGCAGTCACCTTGCCTTCAAGATCAGAAACTTTCACCTACACAAAGTAGTAAAGTATTTCACAGTTCAGATAAATCAGTTTGGCCAAATTTATTTTCCCACAATTTACACGTATTTTCTATTCCAGGAATAACCCAATTAAAACACTGAGCCGTAAATATACGTATACATGTATATAACTTGATTTTGCTGAATACTATTATGTTATTCAGTAAGATTGTGAGAGTTATATCAACTCAATAACCAAGATATTAACGGACCTTAGAGTTAGATGAAAACTAAGGACAGAATGGATGAAAACGGCAAGGCCACCGAGAATCCAATTACACAAAAACTTTGAGCCTAGAAATGATGTGCCACCAATTTCTATAAATGTATGTAGGTGGGGATGGGTTTAAGTGTTGTACACATAGCGTAAATGTGAGGCTAAAATGATACAAAGGTGATAACACGTGTCCACTCAAATTGGTTGTTCTTGAATATGTACAGTGTGGGAACCCATATTGATTACGACCGCATATTTTACATGTTTAGCATCGTGACAACTAGCATTTCAGTAAACAACCCTCACCACCCCACAATAGGGACCCCTCCCCTAAAACAGCAACAACCACAACAACAACAAACAGAATATTAACATCTTTCTATTCTACCGCATTTCTTGTTTTAAGCTTTGTAACAGGATAAGATGAATAAGAAATTCAAATCTGCCACATGTATATCATCTAGACCATTCATCAATTCTTAATTCTTCTCTTCTAGACCTTCTTTAATTCATAACTGGCTAATAAGACTGTGATTCTCCACATAATTAGAAAATTGAAAGAAATAATATATGTTATGATCGTTCAACTTAAAATAGCATGTTCTTATCCAATCCACGCATATCACACTGTACATTATCTGTATTCATGGCTCGTTGGCTAAGCGTCAACATGGTTTTTATTCAGCCAGCTGTGTAAAATAACGTCAGCCAAAAGTGGCATAAATAGCATTACAAGATTACAGGTCTCAAACAGTTTGTCCACATTTACAGTACACTCAAACATAATTGAATTCTCAAACGACAAGTTTTTTAACAGCTAACTCTAGGATTCTTATCAGATGCATCTTAGCTTCGTTCCCAAACCACAATTAAAACAAGTTTGATAATCGTAATCGTAATAGCACATAAAATATACTATGTCATGATTTTTCCTGTGAAAAGCAATAAGTTTGGTGAGATTTTAAGCATCTAAACTGGTTTGAGGGCAAGAACAAACGAATCAAAAATTGTAGGATGATTTCATGAGAATATTCTATATTTATTAAGAGGTTTATCTATTAAAAACCGTCAGGCTTTGGCATCTTTCTCATAACTTTTAAGATCATCCGGCCGCCAAGTAATTTTTACGTTCAACAATCTCGTCTAATAGTCAAAACAACTTTACCAGGTAAAATAAATTATTAATCTGCAATTTTGACTTCAAATAATACGTTAAATTAGAGAGAAAATTATATTATTATATGGTTCCAGAAAGTTCCTAGCTAAATATATGAATTATCAATATTGTTTTTTTTTTTTTTTTTTTTTTAAGTTACAGTGCAACATGCATGTGTTCCCTATAAACCTGGAGAACTAAGAAAGAGATAATCTCGATCTATGTTCATCATATAATTTTTTTTTCCCTCTTTCTACAAATAAAACACACAAAGAAAATACAAGAGAATAATATATTATCTTCTACGAAAGCCAGCAAGCTGTGGATACAGTTATTAACCTATGGATGATAAAGAGGCTCCTAGAGCAGTTAAGCTCCTTGCTGCAAACTGAGAACAGCTGGACAAAAGAGAGAAAGAAGAAGAATTAACCTGATTTCCATTCGGAGAGAGAAGAAAATCACGATCCTTTGAAGCCAAGAGACCTGAAAATCTAGTAGAGTTAGATAGCTTCCGTTCATGAGAGTTGCCGTTCGTGGGAGGTTGAACCGGCTGCTCCGAGCTCATTTCCCTCGTCTCATTTCTCATCACTCTCTCTCTTCTCTCTCTCTGTCTCTCTCTCTGTCTTTTTTATTCAGCGGCTGGAAATTAGAAATAAACACCAGCCTCTACTCTCTCTCCAAAATGCTTATATTCCTCAGAACCCCATTCTTTCCACATCATTACATCCTATGCAAAACTCATCATACGTCAACATACTCACACGTAGCATTCACTCTTTTCTAAGAGAAACTACTATCATATTCCTAACCTACATTAATTTCAATGCTGCATCATGTCTTGCCATTATATGTCATATCAAAAATTGACTCCATCGCATATTAATAAGTCAACTCTAGTAAAATGTAACGGGACACGTGTATGGTTGTTATTGAATTTATTGGTGTGCATAATACCATCATAACATTAAGGTCCGTGTTGGCGTAAAAGACTTTGAATTGAGGCGCTATAGAAAGGAAATACAGACAGAGGGACACCTGTCTTTCTCTCTCTCACCATTTCATCTTTTTTTCCACCATTACCTTTTTTTGCCAAAAATTTAAGGGCTTTACGTACGAGACCCACATCTCAAGTAAAACTTGATCCAACGGTCGTGATCACGACACCATAGTTTCTCTTTTAGGGAGGAAACCCTAGTGTAGTTATGACGATAGTGACTATTAGTTTGAGTCCCCACTATGGACGATGATGGAGTTTTCATTTGTGGGACCGAGTGCTTTTAATCAGCTTTCGATGCACGGCTGCCGTGTTTAAATATCAATGTTGAGGAAAAAGTACTGTAGCATTGCTGTCTGGTCACCCAAGAAATGATAAATAAATACATATAAATAATGTTGGTTGATAATTCGAGCGTTTAATCCCTTTCAAAATTATTATTATTATTATTAATTTTTTTTTATCTTAATGCGTTTAGACCTGTTGGTATCTTAATTAATTTTGAGTTTATTAAACACCTTATAAATAAAATATTCTAAGTTAAAAAGCAAACATTACTTATACATATCATGACTGATCTCGAATATATTAACATCCTAAATTTAAAATATTCTAAGTTAAAGGGGAACAGACATCGTCTCAACAATGGGGGTAGGAATTTCCTTTTGCTGTCTATCTCCGAAAAAAAAGCAATCCCATTATCTGGACTTGGATGATTGTAGTCAACAATTCTAATTCCAATTTCATTTCTAATGTATCAATCAATCAATCTAGTAAGAAAAATAGAAAATAGACTTATTTATTGTCGTCTGGCCTATAAAAAAAAAAATCCAATAACAAAGATTTTATATGTTGTCATTTGAACCCTTTTTCCACTTTTTTGTTTGTATTGCTCTTCTATTACGTATTGAAATTTGATATATTCGTCGAAAGTGATGGTTTTATTCCTATGTAGATTCCCATTTTATAGCTCTAAATAGATGGGACATTATTTGCAAAATAAGTTTAAACTGTATATATTTACAAAAATAAAATTGTTATTATAAGAAATTTATTGAAATAAATATTCAAAGAAATAATCGTATTGGTTTACCTGATCTTCATCTCACAAAAGCCGTGACGCAGTGTGTGATGAAGAGTAAGGAAGGAGTCGAAATTCAATGTAACAAAAGAGAGGAAAATTTGGTTGCAAACAAACTGGAAGAGCTACTCTTTTCTCAATAAAACACCTAAAATAATTACTCTCGTACGATAGATAACACGTGTAAAAGTAAGAGGACATGTGTCACATGCCAGATATGAAAGTTGTTGGATTGCTTCAATGACTTATCATTCGAATCTTTTTCTGGCCCCACCATAAAGGCTAGGAGACACCACGTGTCCTCCCCAAACGCCGTGTGGAAGTAAGCAAAAGGCCAAAGCGTCCATCTTTTAATGAAATGAAACTTCGTGACTGCAAGCCAGCAAGAAAGGTGTACGTGACAAGACCTTATTCCGACACGTTGCGGAATTTTACATGGGTTGGTGCTTTTACTAGCCGGTACTGTTTCAATATCAATTACTTGGATTATTTATAGTAAAAGTCAAATAATACTAATTTAACCAAAAACATGGGCCACGGAAACGTATTTCACTTTAAAAGATTTTGGTACAACAAATTAATATTATATAATAGATGGTTACACTTCCACACAATATAAGATCTTGAGCTATATTTTTATTAGATGTTAGATTTGATTAAGAAAATGTTTTATTTTAAATATGTTAAGGAATTGATTTGTATATCTGTACAATTGTACTGTTAGTTAAAGTGTAGTCAATTGATTAGTGATTTGTATAGTTAAGTTTGCTGGTCAACTCCAGTTAAGTTTACTCGAGTTAGCTTGTACAGTTAGTTGGGTTAGTTGAAATTAGTTTATTGTAAGAGTTAGTTGAAATTAGTTTATTGTAACGGGGCGTTTAGATCATATAATATTTTATTATAGGGTTATATTATATTAACAGAAAGAAAGATCATCTTGAAGATTACTGAAAATATTTAAAAAATGTGTTTGGTTGGTTCGAATAAATTGGTGAATAATATGTTTGGTTGAGAGGATAAATTGGTGGGTATATTATATGGATCACTAAATCGCTCTTCTTTTTAAATATTAATATTATAGTATTTTTTATTATTATTTCTGTTAACCCTTTACAGTTGAAATGTTGTTAAAACACCTCAATCATATAAAACTTTAATTTGTAGCTAAATCACCCCTACCCACCCCCAAGTCACTGCCGACTGTCAGTCACCATCACCGACCATCGTCAACAGTCGACGGAATAGTGCACGACTAGCTGTATATGACCCACCGTGTGCCGGTTCATGCACACACCCAAACAGTCACACATGAATGCAACTCTTAAAGTGGTCAAGTACATAAAGTCATCTCCAAGATTAGGCTTGTTATTTCCAGTAGAAAATGACATGAAATTGACAGTTTTTTGTGACTTTGATTGGACATCTTGCCTAATGACAAGGACAGAATATCGTGTTTTCCTTGGAAAATCCTTAATCTCAGAGGCAGGCCACAATTTCTAAATCATCTTCAGAGGCAGAGTATAGGACAGTGGTATCAACTGTGTATGAACTCCTTCGGTTGGTGCAACTATTCTCATACCTTGGTTTTGCTAAGTCTAAATTTCTGCCTATTCCTCTTTATTGTGACAATCAAATTGTTAATCGTATTGCCTCTAATCCCATCTTCCATGAAAGAATAAAACATATTGATATTGATTGTCATATTATAAGAGACCAGCTCAAGCTTGGCTTCATCACAACTGCTTACATTCCTTCTATAGAGCAACTAGCAAACTTATTGCAGTAGTTGGGGGTTTTAGACACTTATCACCCACCAATTGAAGGGGGATGTTAAGGAATTGATTTGTATATACTGTACAATTGTATTGTTAGTTACAGTGTAGTCAATTAGTCAGTGATTTGTGTAGTTAAGTTTGCTGGTCAACTCCAGTTAAGTTTATTCGAGTTAGCTTGTACAGTTGGTTGGGTACTTGGGTTAGTTGGAATTAGTTTACTGTAAGTATAAAAGTGTTGTAACATTATTTAATAATTAATTAATACAGAAAAGTTTCTTCCCCAAATTCATCGATTACATCTTCTTCAACAATATATATATATGGTTCCACCTAATACATGCAATTTCAACTAAACTATCTTAGTTATTGGATATACATGATAAGAGAATTTTTGAGTGGGACCAAAATCCAAACTACAAGCTCATTGAAATGTACTCACTTAGATAATGTGATAATATATATATATATATTAAATGTCCATATCAATTTACGCATACAATCTCCGACTTAAATCTTAGGATAAGAGGATTTAAACTTGAATTGAGACTATATGCCGTAACTACACATCCTAGCACTCATCCTACTACTTAGCTATCCAAGAGTGGGTCATGTGATAATATTATTTTGACCTAAATCTCTTGTATTCATTGAATTATTTCAAATAATAAAGATTAGCTCACAATAAAATCTCACAAACTCTCTCTTATAATCCTTATATGCCAGTTTTCAATTTACAAAAAAAATGAAACTACTATCTAGATGTTATAAAAGAAAATTATAAAAAAAAATTTACTAGATTGGGACATGCAATATTACCGTTATTTCAAAACACTGCTTCTAATAGCAGAAGACTGGTAATTTAGTGAAACCGTTGTACTCTGTCCAGTACTATAATCAAACAGTGTTTTTTATTTTTGAAGTAGTTTACTGTTCCTCAGCTGGCAATAATTTTCATGAATTCCCACGGTTTCCCATTCGGCTACAATATAATACGGGATCCACCGAAACACCATCTGGGCCCAGATTAGTCAATATGGCCCATTGACCACTGAGTTGGCTGCTTACAAAGCGATGGCCGATGCCATTCATTTGAATTTTTGGCGGTGTGTGCAGTCTTATGTCATTAAATGGATGAATGTACATAAAAAGTTAACCCATTAAATGTTCAACAGATTAAATGAACGATGTATCAATTAAAGAGTGGTGACAGGTTGTATAAAAAGGTTTTTACAAAGAATTTATACAATGGTGTTACTCATTGATTATCTTTAAATGGAAAAGTTTAACTATTAGTTAAATGGGTTATATTGATGTCCATTTGGAACTTTATTGGACCATCATTTAATAGGTGTACTTGTTTTCTGGCCAAGATATATCGAGTATGTTCTGACTAAAGAATTATCGTATTTATACATTATTACGATTTTAGATTGAATAAACATTATTTAATAGACTAGTCTTTTTTTTTTTTAAATCATCGGTAAGCATCCAATTTATCACAAGTGTTTTCTAAGTAGACCTAAGGTGAGTTGACCTCGTGATACTATAATTTGATGTATTTAATTTAATAAATCAAAGACCATTTCTCCTTATACTAATAAAACGGGATGAAACTTGCACAATTCTGATAGAGTAAACGACTTTTTCCCACCAAAGATTTGCCTTAATAGCATTTTTCCACAAAAAAAAAAGTTTCAAAATACCATTTTTCTATCAAAAGTTAATATTTCGTTATTATTCAAAGCCAATTATGGTGGTAAAATTTCGTTTCATAATCACCATTTGAACCTCCAATCTCTTCTCTATAAAACTCCTCTTATTCTAGCACTTAATTTCTCACCGATTATCGCTTACAGTAAAACTTGAGTTTCTTGTTTTTAGTTGATTTCTTGCTGATTTCGA